CCCCCCCCTCCCTATCATCCCATCCATTTCTTACTCTGTCCCCTCCCCATCATCCCCTTCACTTCTTACTCTGGCTGTCCCATCATCCCACTTATCCAGCCCAACCATTACGCCAACCTTATCCAGCATTTTATTAATCTGTCACTTGGAGTCCCCCCCCCATTCCTTACAATTTTCCCACACTGTACATACACCAGGTACATGTACATGTACGTTTGTATGAGTCTAAACACTGTCTATACATGTATATATGCAAGTACATGTACAATAGAGGAGTGCTCAGTACATATGTACATGTATGTACTACAGGGTTAGTACACAATGTACAACTTAAAACATTAACAATCAACTTTTATAACTTTTTCATTAAATTCATAAGTTTCTAAGCATTAATGCTATACAAGACTATGTACACACTGATGGAATTCCAAGAGGAAGCAAACAAGCACTCAGTTTCACATTTAAACACCTATGGACCTGCATACTTTAACATACAACTTTAACATTTGAGGACAGCCGGACGGACGGATGGACGCACCAACGTATGGACGGACGGCCGGCCGGACAGAAGACAGAAATTGGTATTACATAGGCTCGCATTTGCTTTGCAGCTCGCCAACAATGTATTTTTGTTAACTTTAGGATGATCTGAGGAAAATCCCTCAATCCCAGCTACATGTACATGTAGGGGTCGTAAATCATCTAATCCAACTTGAAAAGCTGGAGTTAATATTTCATTTTTTCCCCCCCAGTTTTTCCTATTGTAACATTTTCTCTGCCAAGTTTCCAACATTACCTGTATATGTAAGCTTTGACAAACCTCCCTGTTCAAAGGAATAACTAAATCTGAAATGTCAGATATTGTGTACATGTACATCTGTAGTAAAGCATGAAGGATCCCTCCACATTTAACTGCAAAAATTACTTCACATGTAGAAGTGGTACTCTGCCATCTTCTCTCTGTTAAGCTAAATCCAATTATGTTCACTTACAATGTCCTCATAGTATTTATCTTCATGCTCAGTAAGGTCTTTTTCTTCTTCATCATCTGACTGCTCCACTTTGCTCGGACCCAGACTTGTGATGGGCCTTTTCTCACTCCTGTCACAAAACAATGTAAGGAATCAAAGTCCATCTCTACATGTAAATGGCGTGTCGCAATTGGCAATGCCTTGCAAATAAAAAACATCAAGTGCTGACTAAATTTACATCCTATTAAATTTGTTGATATACATATATACAGTGTACTACCTTGATGCTCCATGTTCAATCTCAAGTTCTTCCTGTTGGAGGCGAGCTTGCTCTAAGATCTTACGGGACAGTTTCTCATCAACAAACTGCCAGGGCAAAAATCAGATGAATAAAAGTCAAGTTAATACCACTTTGTTCAAATAACAACTGATGGAAAGATTTTACTTACATGTATAAACTCCCTCCCCGCCTCTTTTTCCCCTATTCTGTTGGGGTTTTTTTTTTGCACCAATTTGAAGATCAATTCAAAGCAAGTAAATGGGTGCGTACTGTTGCGGTGAGTGGTTAGTGTACGGAGAAACATTTGTAAGGGAGTGGAGATGAGGCTTTCGAAAGCCAAAAAAGGGTGTCCCTATGCGTTCTTCCACCCATCTCTTAGCCTCCCACAGGTACAGGTATAGCTTTTCCCCTGTTTGTACTTGACCATCCTCCTTTCCTTTCACTGCCTCACCACCTGCATGTACATGTACATGTACACACACATGTGCAGGTTCACGTACATGTATGTGTATTCTTCCATCATTGCAAGCTTTCTATTCCCTGGGTGGGATTGAAACCTCCTTCATATCTCTGCATCTCTATGTACTGTTCCAGAGTCTAGACTACTAGGCCATGCTTGTTTGTTGTCGACCAACATCGACTTGTCTCATTTTTACAAAACAAAAATCATGTCTCACAATATAATATGAATATTAGTGGTATTAAATGATAATGAAATAATAGGCATGAATTTCTTCCCTGGCTCTGCTTAAATATTTGTGATGGCAAAGTACATGTATATTACTCAGAACTTTGCAATCCCCTCACTGCCATGCGATGTGCTTTGTATCTCTACATGAGTGGTGCCATAGCGTCTTTCTTAGCTGTATTTTCCCCAAACTTTTAATTTTTGTTCATTCATCAAACATTTAAAGTTATCTTTCTACATACATGCATGTACATGTACCTGTTTCATATACACGTACCTGTTCATGTACATATCGCTCTGTGCACAAAGACAGACAATATATTTGAAGTGTTTTCTTAAGACATGCTTCAATACTTTCCCTCATCAGTCGATCATTGCGCAATCAGTCAATGTGGTTATGATGGTCAGTACAATTCTTACTGCATGATTTATCAACCATTTCAGCTACATGTATGTCAGCACTGATCAGGCAATTGCTTTTTCTTTCAAATTGTGAAAGATTGTTGTAAAAAAAGAAAAGTTAAGTTAGAGATTTACTACTTATTTTGAAGGCTAATGACTTAAATTTTATAAACTTACATATACATGTACATTCACACTGTACATGGAGGCCTAGGGCTAACTTATACTCCCAGAACTGTGGGGCTCGACGTCAGCATTGCTCTCAAGAAAGAGCACAGCGGACATGAAACCCCATAGTTCTGGGGTTATAACAGTTTAATAAATAACAGTTTAACATTTGGTGAAGTGAAATCCAAAGCTCTGACCACATTTTTGTCTGATACTAAAGAGTAGGTCATGTAGGTACATGTACATGTAAGTTGTTTCAAAAAGGTAGACTTTTTTCCCGTATTATACATGTAGGGTGCAAAAGGTAAGGAACTCTGGAGGCAGCAGGGTCTCTACAATGTGCAGAACCAATGTGAAAATAAGTTTAGACCCTGGGCTTAGGCATGATAGGCTTGATATTCTTTCAGTTGACTCAGTCTCAATGAAAACCACAAGTACATGTATAAAATTGACCCTCTCTCAAACAAATACTGTAGTACTAGTGCCATGGCTGTCATCAGTACTAGAGGTGCATGCACTGACTCAGAGACTCTCTCTGAATTTGCGAATAGTCTCCTTATCGGGAGACCGCTTTGAACAAAAAATATTTTATGCGCGCCGACCCTCAAATTAGGAGACTTCTCTGTTTCTGTGGATAGTCTCCGTAAACGGAGACCATACTTGCCGTTGTGATTATTGTGTACAGACCATAACTTACCTGTACATGTACATATCATGCACATGAAAATCGAGGGCTTGTTTGACCCCCAAAACCCCATGCCCTGGGTTGCTTCTGTGGGAGAGATTTGTGTGTTTAGTATACATCATTGTGAAATGGCATAAGCTCATATTATACACCATGATGTGCCATGCATGTCAAGTGAATGGACATGATGTTGTCAGGTTGTGCATGGCGCAGTTTTTTTCTTCTTGTCATTTTTGCACTCCATCATTTCTAGGGCATCCCGAATGTCAAACGATTACATATGCAATATTGAGTATCAAACACTGAAACAGTTACTCCATGTAGGCCTACATGTACTTGTTAAACACTCAATGTCGAAAGTCAAACGAGAAGTAACTTCACATCGGTCATATCAGTTACATTAATTCCAATTTCCATTTGTACCGTTTCATCTTCGTCCTGTCTCTGTCTTTCTTTTACTCTTTCTTTCCACCGGACAGCCTTGTTTTCCAGGATCTGTTCTGCAAGTGCCGCTGATCTTGAGACGGGATCACCCCCTAACTTTGCTGACTTTCCCTTCTTTGACTTGCCCATTCTCCTGAATTTGAAAGTCACACGAGCTTCACTACTTACATGTACAGTATACTACTAGCTTCGCCCATTGATCGCCATAAACCATAAGAAAAACCATGTGCGAGGTCAAAGGTTAAGAGTTGCCGACTTCACTACCAAAGATTGTACAGCGCCGCTGGGCGGCGCTATACAATCTTTGTTCACTACTGTGTAGAGGGTGTGCGTCATCTATTTCCAAAAATTAGAATTTCCGGTTGGAAAGTCCCTATCCTGTTTTGATTTATTGTGGTTCGATTTTTAAAACAAATTCAGACAATGCCTTAGTATTATTTCTAAAGATATATGTAGTTTGGGCTCTCGATCATTTACGGAACGCTGCCTTCTTTATACTGAGTATGCACTTTATGTTTGATACAGCAGAGAGCTGAGATTTTCACTTCAGCCTAACCCGAATGCCCGAGTTGACTCGAAACCTGTCAGGACAGCCTGACGATGTACATGTATGTACGTGTATTATTATGGAAGGTCACTTCATGGGTCTTTTGCCTCTTCCTTTGGAGTTATGACTAAATTTCACGCGGAAAACAATTATATCACACAGCGAGGATGGCAACTTGAGAGATAATAAGCAAAGTACGTGTACATATAGTTGTATATGTATCAAAAACGTCGCCAAACCGTTAATGGACTTTAATTGTTCCGCTTGAGTGGATCGACTTTCTCGTGCAGGAAATTCAAGTACCGAAGTGGTGCACCGTGAGAGGCTTGAAAGCGTCAAACTTCCGTTTTTCTGAGCTACTGATTAATAGGTGTACAATATTTGGCAAATTTTGCAAGTTACAATAGAAAGGAAATATCGAAGTCAGTTGCTGTTTTACACAGATGCAATAAATTTTTCTAGTGAAACCTTTTTGCTCCAATGCCCGATCCCCCCACCCCCCAAAAAAAAAATTCCTAGGTGTCAAGTGGGTCCTATAGCCACAAAGGACTCCAGCAGAGTACACCCTGTGTGCAAATACCAACGTATTGTGGGTCATCCGCATGTAAACTTTTCAAGACCGAGCACAGCAACTAACTGAGGGCTACGACATGAGTGCACGGTTGGTCATCCACTATGACCTATCGGTGGGCGCTTTAAAACCCATGAACTGCTAGGGTATCTAGCCCCCTGACCTGAGTGCCAGCTTAAGGGGGACGCCATTTGTTGGGCTTTCATCCTCGTAGAAGATCGGACGGTAGGACACTTACAGATCTATTTCGAATTAGTAGCGGTAATACGTTCTACACACATTTTGTTTTGCCCTGAAACTCCAAACCAAACCCTGCACTTTGACTTATGCTTGTGATACAATTAATTGTATCTGCAAGAGCTAACACCAACACTTGAGACAAGCAGCGCCGAAAGTTGTACAGGGCACAAATTCTAGTGGACAGAAATTGTCCGTGTGTACGATTTTATATTTTGCTTCACTTCCTTCTGAAGAGGACAAAACTTGTGGGTCATTTTAATATCATTACTCCTGGTTTTGAAAGTGACAGCAAATTCAGATACTTAATTTCGTGCCAGGGATCGGAAATGGTGCCAACTGAAAGGTTTTTGTTTTCCCCCATTGCGTTTCACTCCCTTCAAGATAGGCCCAGTATCGTTTTCATGACAGGGAAAAAATAATATGTTACTGCTGCTTTAATTGAATGCGACTCCTTGGTGCACTTTCCACTTTGCTGCATGACTTGTAAACTTTGCCTCGTCACGTAAAAAGGGATACGATTTGGCAAGTACAGGTAGGTCTACGTGACAAACACTTCTGGGTACAAAAATGTAGAGAGCTGAAGCAAAATAAACTTTATTGTACCTTTCCATTGTTCCATTTTTTTTTCCAGTCTCTATAGTACAGTTGTATAGGGTTAAGTCAGGTTTTGGTTCCAACCTGCCCAATTATCATAACAAAGTGTCATACCACTTGTTCTGTCACGCGAACCAGAATCAATAGAAAGGAATAAAAGCTGCCTTGTTGTGGTGAACTCTGGCCCAGATGGGTTTCATAACTCTGCATTTTGACTCCAGTGAAGTGTTGTCTGGGTACGTTATCTGGAGTGTGTACAGAAGATCTATTTTTATGTGTCTTTTTAAGTAGGTTTTATTTTAGTTTTTTGCAAGATAATTTTTTGTTGTTGTTTGGGGGGGTTCTGAGGGGGTGCTGGAGTGAGCGTTTCTATAGTTTCTACGAAATGGGTCACCGCGGTCTTATTCTCCAGGGAATTTAAGGAGACAACAGATAAAACGTGTGGGCGCATAAGAAATGTCTCACAGTGAATACAGACTAGAACACCACCTGGAGTTAGCTAATCACTTCTGCTGGTGACCAGGCTTTCATGAACCGCCTATGCTGAATGTGCATGTCAGCTTTGCTGGCTTGCAGGCTGTACCAAACAGTTTGTACAACACCGCAAAAATAACACTTTACTAAAAGACAAGTCAGCAACTGAGTTTGCAGAGGGCAGGCAAGACCAGATCATAAATGGGCTTCTCTCACATCGAGTGATTTACCGGATACGTTACTCTAATATTTCGCTCAGATAATCTCGTCAACTCTGTAGTTGTGTGCCCTTGTCAAGTTGTCCAGTCCCGTAAGCGACGATGCCACGTGAAAATGATCTCAACGGGTACCAACCTGTACAAACCGCAGAAGACGGGCCGGGAAGGCAAAGAGGTGGCATGCGAACTGCCGACGACAGGGCTGGGGCGGGGCAAGATTCAACCCCCCTCCTTCCCGAGGAGCGATGCTGCTGCAGCGTCCTCCAGCGTCTTGCATCTCCCTATGCCTTCGGCGTCTTCGTGTGTCTGATCAACTTCCTGCAGGCGGCTGCGACCTCTGTAACTGGGTAAACTTGAGTTTTTGGAACACGGAAATTTCATCTACATTGCACTTGTCTTGAGTGGCTCAATCTGTAATTCCTTACGGTACGTGCCGTGTATGAAGCAGTGTTTGTTAGTTTTATAGCAAATTATCAAACTATATAGGGGAACTAACTAGGCGCGTAAAATTGATTATAGAGATGAACAAAGAAATTGACTTGAACGGAATTTGAACCAGCTACGTCCTTAATACCGTACCAGTGCTCTACCAACTGAGGCCAGCCGTACGGTGGTAGTTTTATAGTAAGAATGATTGACAGATATTATATTTTAATAAATTTAATTTGGATATGTCTTGATTGTTTCTTAATTCGTGGTAAACTGTCTGAAATAATTTCAGCTCCCACTGTGACTTTTTCCTTTGTCAATTCTGTTTCTCTTGGATTGTGACGTTTTTAGAAGTGCTCAATTAAGCACAATAGAGAAACGCTTCCAGCTCAAAACCTCAGAATTGGCACCATTCTTGATCGTCAATGACATCGTGAGCGTGATCATGGTGCTGTTCGTGGCGTACTACGGCCACACCAGCCACCGACCGAGGCTCATCGGGGGAGGAAGCCTTCTCATCGGCTTGGGTCTACTGATCTGCACACTACCGCAGTTTATCTACAAGACACCCCCGCAGTTTTCCCTCGACATTGGTCGTCGGGCAAACGGCACGGCAGATGGATTCTCAGAGGATGGAAAGACTATTCTTTATCCAGTAAGTTAGGTATTTTGTTGACAAGTGGCAAAAGTATGCCCTCTTTTCACAGTTGTCGCTGTCACTATTATTTGAACTCCCCAGGACAAACACAAAGTGGATCAAGAAAAGAAAGAGAATGAATTGACTTGCCCAATGAAATATCCAACTTAATGGTACGAGCTGGACTGAAAGTCACCATGTGCACAACTCCTCACAGAATCCTGAGCTTGATGCACTAGGCATCATAGGTTCCCTCTATTGTTGAGGTACCCTAACGTGGCATGGCCCCTAATGTGATCTCTACTTTTTGATTTTTTACCTGTGGTGCCTTGCTGGAGCAACCTTTTTACCTCAAATTTCATAACGAGTGACATTTCATCAAACTCACAATATTCTGATTCGAATATCTCTATTTTGCACACCCACTACAAAGTTCTGATGATTTTTTATTTAGGCTGGATTTTCCGATTTTTTTAGCGCGAAAATAACTCCTACAAACTTGAGTTCAGGTATGTAAGCAGAGGTGATAATAATTTATTAGAATTTACCAACTTTAAAGAACGTCTTAAATGTTAGGCCTATGTGAGGTTTTCTGAGATTTCTTTCAAGTGCGCCATGTTAGCGAAGACTCAGCTGAATTCTTGTTTAATTTTTGGACACCGCTGTTTTTTAATTTCGGAGGAAATTTCATGACGAAAATTGTTCACAGAAGTTTCAACCACACGTATTATAAAGGTTGTATAGTACCAGTGTTAAACCAAATGAATTTTAAGTTTTTCCAAAAAGGGGCAGTCAACTCAAGTGAAAATCAAAGTGAGCCACGTTGGGAGACTGGACTGTACAGCCGTATTGCGTTGCATTGTGCTCGACTCTGGTCTTGTGTTCGACGTTCTTGACAAGCTGTCAAAGTTCCTTACAAATTTTCCTCAATACTGTTCACTTTGCAGATTTGTAAAGTTAGCGACAAAGAGGATGGTGATTACGAGAAGTGCACAGAAGAGGAAGAGTGGAACGCAGGGTCTCTTATGTGGCAGGTGTCTTGGATAATAGTCGGCCAGATACTGACTGGTGTGGGGGCTGCTCCAATTATGCCTCTCGCTGTCACGTATATGGATGACAGTCTGCATCGGTCCTCGACGTCAGTTTTTGTAGGTAAGTGAAGTTCCAATTTCTCAACTTTTCTGATGTTGTATGTTTAATTCAGTCTTTATTTTACCCTACAAACTGTTCTCTTACCTCACAGCCTTCATGTTCATCTCTGCCTCCTTCGGTCCCCTCCTCGGGGCTGGCATTTCCGGCTTCTGCCTCTCCATGCACACCGATTTCTACAAGGCGCCGGTTTATGCCCAAGCGGGTGATCCGAACTGGTTAGGCGCCTGGTGGGTGAGCTTTGCCATCATGGGTGTGCTGATGCTGGTGGTCGGTGTGCCCACCATGCTGTTTCCGAAGAGGTTCCGGAGAAGGGCGAAGGGAGCTGGCGGGAGGGGGAGGGCGAATTCGGAGCAGGGTGCGCAGACTGCGGAGGAGGTTAATGACGAGGAGGAAGATATAGCGAAGATGTATCGCCTGAATGTCCGTGGGAGCGGGGGCGGAAAATGCTCCTATGTCAAAGGTAAATCAAGAGGTTGGCAAAATGAAAACCAGCAAAGTATGTATAATGTACTTGGGGACTGGGGACAACTTTGCCGTAGTTTAGCCTACAAAATAATGTAGGAAGTCAGGAGGAAGAGTAGGAAAGGAAAAATCATTAGGAAAAGAATTCTGATGGCATTTATACTGAGCTGAGGTTAAAAAGTAAGGTTTCATGCAGTAATACATGTATACATTCCAAAATTCCTCTACCTCTTTTTCTTGTCTGTACTATGTCAGGTTTTCTGGGAGCACTTCGTCGCTTGGTAACCAACCTAACGTTTGTGTCTCTCATTCTTGGAGTCTGCGCGATGCTGGCGTCCGTTATGGGAACATTTATCTTCCTAGCGAAGTATATGGAAACACAGTTCGGTATTCCTGCCTCTCAAGCGCCCATTTTCTTCGGTAATACTTGTACCACCTTTGCCCTTGTTGCACCTTTTTATGGCATCTTGAAAGCGATACTTTCTCTTTCCAAGACCAAGGTGTTATCAGTCCTGACGAGTAATATTCCCTTGTTATTCAGTTTGCTTAGGTGAATTTCTGCCTCAAAAGGACCCCTCCAAAATTTTTCTGTACAAATAATTCCCCAAAGTACATATTTATATATATACAAAAAACGGCTGGGATGTTGGTTACAGTTTGGTTACAAATCTCATCCTGGCCCCTTTACTTCTTTCGGAACTAGTCCCTCTGCGTTGAAATTTCTACGGTTACTAATGAGAGGACACTTTTCAAGTTCGGTTTGGCATTTGGTGGTCCTTATGTAGCTGGCCAAATGAAATTTTGTCATGTAGACTGAAATACATAAACTATAGGGGTATAGATTGAGGCTTTTTACCCCGAATCACCGTATTTGGCCAAGAGTGTCCATATTTTTGAATTCTCGGCATAGTGACTTCGTTCATCATCTTAGGTATCATCGCGCCACCTGGTTCCCTCCTGGGTAATCTAATTGGCGGCTTCGTGGTCAAGAAATTGAAGCTGGCCAAGAAGGGACTGGCCAGAATGGTGGTCACTCTCAAGCCCATCGTCTTCATCCTCGCACCGGCGTTCTTCCTCCTTGGATGCACCAATCCTGACATCGCTGGCCTCACTGTTGGATATCCTGCCATCAACACGTGCGTATTAAAGCCTTCGCTGGATAGAAGTCAAATTAAATTAAATAGTTTTCAAAAAGCTTGTCCATGGTTTCAGGCAGAATACCCTGTCACAGATTGTACTATTCTGACGGCCGATGGGACAAAAGTTGTAAGATGAAAGTAACAAATGTCAGACGTTATGCTTGCTGGTAACTGTAGTTGGATAATTGTGCATTGATATAACTTGCCATTTGATTGAATTCAACAAAGCCATGACTGTTGTAACAGAGGCTTTGTTGTGGGGACATTTCTCTGTTCCACAGTGTCTTAAGGTCCCTACAAATTGGTGAATTAACCGTGTTTGTCCCCATGCACAACTACGGAACAAAGTCTGGGTTTTTTTTCTTCTTCTTTTTTCAATTTGATGCTTAGCTTGACCTATATCGCGTACCAGTTTTAGTTAGAAGTGCAGTTCACTTGTAAGTTCGTAAAAAAACTCTTTCACACTTTGTATCAACTTCAAAGGACCAATATACGGCTACCAAACCTGACGTCGGGCTGCAACATAGACTGTGCATGCCCATCCGAGTACACACCAATTTGTGGGTCTGATGGTGTGACGTATGCGACGCCATGTCATGCTGGTTGCCGGACGATAATTAAGGAGAGTAATATCACAAAAGGTGGCGTGGTGAGTATTCAGACAAGAGTAGGTACCCATTGGCATGTACATGTATACACTGACCAGTCCTTCAAATCATTATTTTTTGAATTTTGAAATATGATTTTCACTTATTTTCTTCACCGTGCGTGATCTATAGGCCTACCACGACGTAGTAAATGACATAATGGTCCATGGCGTTTAAATAAACATGATGTTATCGAGTTTCTTATGGATTGGTGAACATATCGGTGTGCATGTATGTACAGCCTGTCTGATTCCGACTTGGTTGCTCTGTGTAGTTATACACTGACTGCAGCTGCATTGGTGAGAACAGTTCAGCTAACCCATTAGGCTTGAATGGAGACTACGAGTACGTGGCCATACCAGGCGAATGTCCTCGTGATTGTAGCACGCTGATTCCTTTTGTAGCGGTGGCCATGATACAAGTTCTTCTCTTAACCATCGTTGGTAACCCAGGATTCATGTTGCAACTCAGGTACGTCACATGATGATAACGTCAGAATAATTTACCAACGAACCGAGAGTGCATAGAACTCAGTACATTAAACTCCACTACTTTTCACAGAACTGTAAAGTTAATTTTGAAAGTCCTGGATAATTTGAGACGACGGTTCATGAGATAAAGATATCTATAACACAGTTTGTTCAATGTTCAGTGTGATGTTTTCCATACAGACCACAGGGAACATATGTTTATCTCAATAACCTTCATCATGCTTCTAATTAATTAACAGTGTGGTTCATTCACCATTTATTTCAGGACGGTAGACGAGGATGACAGGTCTATAGCCGTTGGCTTCACATCTATGCTGCTACGAATGCTTGGTAAAAAAAACTGCCTAGAGAAAATTTATGCTAAGAAATTAAAGACAACCTTATTGAAACAAAGCGAGGTTGCACTCTTCTTGACAGAATCCGCTAACAGTGGTTGAAGAAATCCCGTGCTGCCTTTTAATCAGGAAAGTCCCGTCTGTGTTAGGGCCAAAAGAATTATTCTTAAATGTTAACTTATAGTGATAACATTCTACATTTTGGTGGCATGTTTGATTCTTCTTCTTTTGAGGCTGGTTCCCGTCTCTCCTTTTGGGAGTTTGTTTGTAATCTGGGAATGGTTAAGGCAATGAAACTACATGTAATACATGTACTAAGCACTTTGTGTAACGTACATGGAAGCAAGGCTATGTAGACCTATATGTACTACGCCCCCCGTTGTTCGAGCTTGAAGGCAATCCAGTAAAGCGAAACACCCCATTTGAAAAGTTAGTGCTGCGTTTTTGATAAGTATTCCAACAGAGAAAATGATATCGGGAGTACTAGATTCGAATAATAGGCTAAACACCTGTTTGTTCTTTTGCCACTTCTTTACCTATAGCGTTTATTCCATCACCTCTGATCTTTGGGGGAGCGATTCAAACAGCTTGTATCCTTCTCCAGTCGTCATGCGGGAAGACGGGCAACTGCCTTGTGTACGACATTGTGCAGTTTAGGTTTGTCTTCTACGGGCTGACGTATGGTCTTGATTTCCTGAGCCTGGTGATGTTCACTGTCTGTTACTACTCCATCAAAGTGACTAAGAGTCCTGAGGTATCAACCCTTTGGTATCCTTCGTTTATGAGCTCAAAATGAAACCAAAGATTTTGCTTCAATCACAGAAAGATAATACGGTTTTCAGTTACTTAATGCAGTCAATGATTACATTGTTCATCATGCACATTTAGGTCTTCTTAAATGATCATGGCAATGAAATCTTTTATTGTTTCTTTGACGTCTCGACCTCATACATGTATATATATTCGTTAGGTCCAATTCGAAGACCTACATGCATACGCTTTCTTGTACAAATGTGATGTTAGGAGTATAATGACCTTTTATAACAATCACACCTTGCAGGGCTTCGTACAGATGCATTCAGTTAAATCAGATCACGCTGTTACATCGGTGGATGAACCGGCTAACATTGCTACACAAGACCAGGTGTTCAGCGCACGCAAAGAAACCGATGTGTAGCGGCAACGTGGCTACATTTGCCTTTGGTCGAGATCTTCCAGATTCAACTTTGGCACTGTCGCTCTGAGCTAGCAATGGCCCAAGCCTAAGGAATTGTTCCAATTTCTATACCAGCTGCAAGGAATAATCATCATTAGTGATATCTAGCTGTCTCCATGGCTCGAGTCAATATACCCATTAAAGATTTGTCGATTAAAGGTCAATTTAATATCTGGGCAGAGATAATAGACCAAACGCCAAGGCGGGGAAGTCATTCAGCTGAAAGCAGTCAGTCATTTTGCATTTAGTGAAGCAAATCCGAAAAGCAGTCGGAAAGAAAAAGGAGTCTTTATTGTGATGCATGAATGCTCACGAAACAAATGGAAAAAATAATGTTTTTCCAACCTTCTTGTAAAGAAATGTTTTCAGACCGCGCGAAATCTAAACTCTGTAGTAATTTTGTGTATTTCTGCATTATGTAGAGGCTACATACATGTATATTCAAGTTCTTTTAGATACTTAAAACGTTGAATTTGTTTCTATTTTTCCTGTTTGTTTTTAAAGGTTTTGTATATGCATGTATAGTTTTACTCTGAGTTTTCTATATTTTAAAAAATGATTGCCTCTTTTTTTTTAGCTAGGAACACAACAGAGCACCGTGTTCATTAACTATGAAAGAACACGAGCGTTTTTGTATATTTGTTTATTTGAAGAAGCTCATAAACAGGTGCAGTTTTTTATTCATGCTCTGTTTATATTTTATATTGCATTTGTTTTCTTAAATGTTTTGTGTGAATATATGCAGTTTTTAATCAACTGTTGTACATTTTTGAAAACTATTGCCAACCCTTTTTCAGATTTAATCAAACTCATACAATGGAGCATTATTAATGCTGAGGCACTTTATGTGACATTGTTTTAAGGCACTCATTTTGGCTGAATTGATAAAGGTAAATACCTCCTGCATTGGCCAATTCTTTGTTTATGCATGTTTTAGAATTGTAAGAAAATACATATACATGTCACTGCGTGAAAGGTATTAATGGTAGATGAAGCGGATAACTTTTTATTAATATTCCGAAGGAAAATTAAAAGGTGAACTGCAAGATAATGTAATAGTCTTTGGTATACATGTATGAAGTATCCATTTTCATTGCTGTTCTTTAGATAACGACTGACTATTTGTTTCCAAGCTGGTAATTCCACATCTAATTATGGTTGCTACGATTCACCAGTAGCCTAACGGACTGGTGGAAAGGCGGACAGGTAGTCTGATCGCACGGGTCGACAATTCCCAAATTATTTCTATTTCCAATATCCCCTAATCGAATTCTTTGACTGTATTTTGCCAAACTCACTGCCCACGGGTTCCACAAAAAAATCGAGTGGACAATTATCAATACAAATCCTAGAGGATCGTTAAGTGTTATACATCTTAGACATTACCTGTCACATTGCCAAAACGGTGCAATCACTCGCTTGTGTCATTGATGATGGGTGCAACGTTTGGAGTGTTTACTTTTTGAAAGGAATATCAACAAATGTTGCACCATCCAAACATAAAAATCGGACTTCGACATCGACTTTTTGATCCGCTGGAGATACTATCGGCTCATATTTGCCCTCTTCTTTGTACGATTCAAAAGCTTGACGACAGTCCAAGGTAAGTAGCATGCTCATATACATGTATAAACTTGGCTGTTTTAAATTTGCACAAAAGGTAAGTATCGCTTTCATGAATTTCGATCAGCGGCCATTTATCAGCCACTGGTCGATTCTTCCTGATAATCAGTGCACAAAATATACCCGCGAGTACCAGGTAAAATCGACCAGCTGTTGACTTACTGTCGCTGATCAAACTTGGTTAACTAGCTGTCGTTGATCAAACACAACATGTAAACGCGTCTGATTTCAGTCGTAAGGCACACTAAAAAGCTGCAGCAGACATGCTGGCAAAACAAAACTATCATTTAAAACTGATTGTACATTTAGGTTTTGGCGTATCGGATTTGTTGACGTATCGTTCTAGAATGGCGTTTTGGCGAAATTGCGTTTTATTAATAGCCCAGCCTCGCTATTCTATCACCGTTGAGGGGGTCGATCTGCATTGATGGGATATCATGTGGATAGGGTGCAACTTCGCATTACAAATACCTTTACTTCCGGGACTGACACCCACTAGCTTTGGTAAGCTGCTCACGTTATTTATCATATGACATATTTTCTATAAACAATCCAACGCAATTTCTAATCTTGAACAATAACGTCATGAATTATAGGATCACATGGCTCGTTTTTGTTTGGCCACTAAGTGTATTCACACTGTCACAACTCGGATTTCTTTTTTGAAAGTCTGTTGAGTCACGATGGCAGAAAACGACGTCCACGTAGCTTACCAACCGGTGGACACAGAAGATGAAAACACCAAGAAGCGCGACACTGACAAGAGAAGGGTTTTTGGGAAAGATGGAGGGCTCCTTCCAGAAGAGCAATGCTGTTGTGGCTCCATCCAGCGCTTGGCACATCCCATTGTCTTTAGTGGACTGATTTGCCTCGTCAGCATCTTCATGGGAGCCGCCTTCACCGGAACTGGGTAAAACAGTCATTCTTGCACGGAAAGTATTCTCATTGGTTTCTCTCATCTCCAGTCATCAAATCTGGTCATCATTTCAACTTATTTTTGTCTTTGCAGAGGTGGCGTTTTTAGTACAATAGAGAAACGCTTCCAGCTCAAGACATCTGAACTGGCACCCTTCTTGATTGTCAACGACATAGTGATGATTGTGATGGTACTTTTTGTTGCCCACTACGGCCACACCAGCCACCGTCCGAGACTCATCGGGGGAGGCACCGTTATTGTCGGCTTGGGTTTTCTTCTCTGCACGTTGCCACAGTTCATTTACGATACGCCTCACCAATTTTCCCTCAGCACCGCTTCAGCTGCGAACGGCACGACAGATGGAGACCCAGAAATAAATTTGATTTATCAGGTATGCCATGTTTCTCCTTGTTGCTACATGAAATTCTTTAATTAAAAAGCTTCATGATGATTTTGAATGGCAATCAAAGGAGAATTTGGCTTCTGTGCTTATGGAGGTATACTTCTGCCATATAGATTCCGTGTTGTTTCAGATTTGTAAGATAAATGAAACGTTCTCCGGGAGCGAAAACACGGAGGAGTGCTCAGAGGAAGAAGAGAAGACCTCAGGGTCTCTCATATGGCAAGTGTCGTGGATCATCGTGGGTCAGATAATAGCTGGTGTGGGGGCAGCTCCAATATCACCACTTTGCATCACGTACATCGACGACTGCGTGGAGAAATCTTCAACAGCAATATTCATATGTAAATGAAACTAAGGCTGGTTGTAGAAGGGTTAGAAAAAAATCCCTCGTGCATATTGTGCACCCTGGCGGGGGTCATACCGTGCCAAAGGGAACGCTTTTCTTCAAGGGGTTAAAACGTTAATATATCTGTGCGACTTTCTGGCAATCTGTCCGTCGAACTGGTGGCACCTCAAAGGCCAATCCCATAAAATATGGCACAACACCCCCAAAGGGCTGAGCGAAATAACTTCAAGAAAACGCAATCCGTTTGTCATGTTTTCAAGTCTTCTTTGTAGAGAAATGAAAAAAATCACTTACAAGCCACCTTAGCCCATTTTTTTATGGGGGACCCAAGTCTCTTGCTATAATGTGTGTTAACACACCGTGATAACTATACTTGTCTTTTGAGAAAAAAAGGTTCCTTTTGCTTCGCCAGCGGGCCATAAATTTAAATCATAAAAAACTACTCTTCCGAAAAGCTGAAGTAAAACTGGAATAAACTAAAACCTTTTTCATCAGCTGAAACTGATTGTTTTATGTGTAATGTGATATCTCACTTCCCAGCGGCTATTTTCGTTGCTGGTTCAGTTGGACCGCTTCTCGGTTATCTCATCAGCGGCTTCAGTCTTGCCATCCACACCGATTTCTACAAGGGCCCTGTATACTCTCAATCGAGTGACCCAAACTGGATCGGCGCGTGGTGGTTGTGCTACGCCCTGACCGGCGTATTGCTGGTCCTGATAGGTATACCCATCGCGCTGTTTCCGAAGAAAATCCGGATGCGAGTGAAGGATGCTCAAACTGATGAGGAAGAGATAAGGATGACCCACCAAGATGGGGAGAAGCAGACTAAGGCGGAGAAAGATGTGTGTGGTGATGACGTTAGGGTTTGTGACGTGCCGGACAGGACTTGGAAGGGAAAATGCTCGTATGCCATCGGTAATTTATAGGCCCTACTTGTATACTATTTACCTGACAAGCTAATGTGGATTTTTGGACACTATTCTTCACAGTGACCATGCTGTCCTCAGGGTTAAGCAATGTTAATGTAGTTAAGCAACTAAAAGAAAAGTCGTATCTTCTGAATGATCTGCGACTGCCGTTACCCAGGTGTGCACTTTTGCTAATGTTTCTGGCATTGTATTTAGACTTGATTCCAGGCTAAATTAAGATGTACGCTCGTTCTTTAGCTTTCTGACTGGGTAGGGCGCTATTAAGGGCTTTTGGGAGCGAGGGCTAAAGTGTCGCTCTGATCAAACTCCTTGTTCAATCCAAACGACGGTGGAGCTAGCCTGATCTTGGTGAAACTGACCTTTGAAAAACGAAGAACTTGGCTAGATTAGTGATCTCTTCAAACCCTTAAAAATGACTTCCTTCGGTCATATGGTTCGTAATTTGTAACTCAGACTTTACCATTCCTTAAACCTACAATTCCTCAGGTTTTCTCAGTGCTATTCAGCGCCTGGTAACCAACGTGACCTTTGTATCTATGGTCCTGGGAGCATGCGCCACGATTTCATCAATGGTTGCGACATTTGCTTTCATGGCCAAGTACCTCGAGACCCAGTTTGATCTTCCCGTTTCGGAAGCACCGATACTAACTGGTAAAGTCCCACTTCTTGTTAGTCAACACAGAGGGTGGCCATGCCTGAATTTCGAATGTCGCTTCTGGATTATTAGACTCCAATTTTCCATGAATTTTGATTTCTTAGCATAAATTACCACCAGAATTAAAATCAACCACCCTTACTTTTACTCCGTGAAAACATACTGGGAAAAAATCATTTCCTGTGCCGTTCATTAGCATCAAGGCAGATCAGCATAATAATGTGTGCTCCGTACGGAAGGCTGTTGGATAATATTATTTCTTTTTTGTCGAGGAAACTCACCGAAGGAAAATCTGTCTTGGTTGAACCATTTTATTTTGGTTTTTACCTTTGATCAGGTCTTATCACAACGCCAGGTATGTTGTTGGGCAACGCTATAGGAGGCCTGGTGGTCAAGAAGCTGAAACTGACCAAGAAAGGAATGGCCAAAATGGTGGTCATCCTCAAACCGTGTTCTCTGCTCATCCTTCCACTGTCCCTCTTCCTTGGATGCAACAATCGGGACATAGCAGGAATCATGGCAAGTTACCCTACCTCAAACATGTAGGTTTTTCTACTGTCTATTAGCCTATATTTAGCTTATCAAAAAAGACCCAACCTTGCAAAGCTGAAAGTAAGCTGTTTTTAAATACTAATTCAGAGCTTCAATGCAGTTGATGGAAAGATTAACTGCTATCTGAAGGGCTCTATCCAGACAATTGGGGGGTAAGTCAAATGTTGTGGCTTATGCCGAGAAAAGAGCATAGCAACGATTGAGATAGAAATTAGCTTCAACATAATTCACGGTGTTCCTCGGGACGTCTCTATACCTAGTTTTAGTTCAGAGCACGTGCTGCGCTGCAAAGGCCACGGAGTTACAAATTTTGTGTAAAATGATCAGCCTCGATATCCATGCCAACACCGATTTACCATTTAAAACCAATGCTATTTCGTTTGTTTCCCATGTATATGATTTTTTTTCAAGCACGAATGGACCACTGCCAAATCTTACAACCAGCTGCAATGTCGACTGCGCATGCCCAACCACTTACACACCCGTGTGTGGCTCCGACGGTGTGACGTATGTGACACCATGCCACGCTGGTTGCTCAGCATGGATACAAGGGATGCCCGATAGTGACGATGGTGGAAGCACCACTTTTGTAAGGATAGAAAAAACGACTTCACGAAATCTGAAAAAAATGAGCCAGACTAGCACTAAATTTCCCAATTCGCATGATGTTTATTGTGCATTGGGCCTACATTTTTGGCGCTGTGTTCCATATCCATGTGCAACAGTACTTTTTTTTACATACAAAGTGTGGACATTCCTTTGTTCTCCTGTGGTTAAGGAAATTTGAGGAAAATGCTTCTTTTTCTCCTAGTAGGATAATTCTTTCGAGCTGGATTTTTGATGATGATTTTCTGGCCTGTTACTCTTCATTTTGCCACATTTAACCTTGACCCCAAAATGCCTCTCAAACTGTTTTTCAGAGAGGGGAAAACATTGTGTGGACGCGTGCAAGTCCACACAATGCCATCACACCCTACATTATGTGGACGTCTTTTATGCAGAGGTCCACACTGTGTATGCCACGCCTGCACATCTCCATTGTATACACACTTCGTGATCGTTGTGGTTAACTGGTTAGAACTAGTTTACTGAATTATTGCTCAAGGGCGTGGCCGTGAAAGGTGTCGTGGTCTCAAGTTCAAACCCTTAACATGTCTGACATATACTTTTACCTAGGTCTACACAAACTGTACCTGCACGGATGTCTCCAACTCGCTCAGCCAGATTGGCTTAAAAGGAGACAATGAGCATGTGGCGATGACTGGCGCATGTCCTCACGAGTGCACTACCCTAATCCCCTTCGTCGCCATTGCGATTTTCAACACAATCCTTGGTGCCATTGTCGGTATACCAGGTTTCATGTTGGAGTTCAGGTGAGTTACAGTGACGGGTTCACTTTTAAGAAAACTTTGACGGAACTCGTTATGGATGATGCGAGCTTGACGCAAGCTTTCCTTTCTTGATGTTTACAGGGTTGTGGATGAGGGTGATCGCTCCCTGGCCATTGGTTTCTCATCAATGATGATGCGGTTGCTAGGTAAAACATTTCGCATGCATTCATATTTGATTGTAAGGCTTGTTTCCGATAGACTCGGAGCATAGGTTGGCTTACCCCTCATCAGCGACAACAAGGCAAGATAGTGTTGGTGCCCATGCACTACGTTGCTCTTTAACGCGTGACATTGCGCACGCGTGAAAACAACCCCTTCCGTTCCATCTCTCAACTTCAGTAGCTGTTGAAGGATGACACGAGGTAGTTAGAAACTGGACAGTTTCGCACTTCTTGTGCAATACTTGAAGCAATCAGTAGGCGTCACTGTCAACAGGCAAAAATGATTAACAACATCCCAACAGTGTTGGAAATTGACAGTGGTGATCAAAGTCTAAAACTTTCTACAAAATTCGAGTCAGTCGGATAAAATGACTCAACAGAGTAAACATCTTGAACACAAGACCTGAAGGAGTGTCCGTTGTTATGTACATGTACAGTTTTTGTACTTTGTGGAGAGTGAATTTGGGATTTGAGTACCGACCCAACATTAGTATAACTGGTGTAATCTTTATCATACTTTTTGTTCCAAGCGACGATACCAGCTCCTGTTATATTCGGAGCAGCCATCCAAACAGCTTGTCTCCTACTCCAGTCGTCGTGCGGGAAGACAGGCAACTGCCTTGTCTACGACATCGTTCATTTCAGATACCTCTTTCATGGACTGATTTTGGGTCTGGAAATCCTGTCCACAATTTTGTTCATCCTCTGCTTTTACTCGATAAAAGAGACAACAAACGAGGTACTCAGAAAAAGTCATCACACATCTCAAATTTTGAAACTGTGTTGAGTGTATTATATTAAGATTTGCGGAAGGGCTCAACTGTGGCTTGATTCGAAACAGTTAACTGATTTGGAATACTTTCTTTGTCTCCTCAGAATAGACAAGTGTCGGTTGCAGCCGACGGATCACAACATAGTGACCCGTCTGATGGGGAGACAGACGAGGACGTCTTCACCTAAGCACAGGAAGAAACTGATATGTGATGGCATCCACTCACATTCTCGACGTCTAATAAGCACCAAAATTAATTTTGGAAGAAAGCATTCAGTACACAGCATACAGTAGTTGTATTCAATATTGGAACAGTGAAGCAATTTGACATGCCGAGAGTTTGACAGATTAGCACAATGGTAGTGTAAATCATAGTTTTGAAAAAAGGCATTAATTCCGTAAGCTTAATTTGTTCTTTGCTTGTTACTCTCTGCAGTTTACTTGCATTTATTAAACAGAACCGAACGGAATTCCTTTAAAGCTTTGTAGTAGTTTAATTATTACTTTTGCGTTTACGTTTCAGTGTAAACTTTACTTACAAAAGGAGTTAAAACTGAATTTACAACTGTATATCTTTATTCTTCCAGCTTATGAACTCAGAAAATTGTGTAGATATGTAATCAAGGTACTTTAATCTATGCATTCTTATATCTATAAGTTTGTTCACTGGAAAATGATTTTAAAATGTGATTATTTCGATACGCAGCGAATGAGCCTGAACTACTGTGTAAATCATGAATCTAACTCAACGAGTCAAAGTTGTAAGTAACAACAATCTCACGCATTTTATCTGAGATAAAAAAAAAATGCAAAGAAATAAAAGCTTCAGCAGTTTTACTGTCATCAATTAACTACATCTTGGAGTCAACGTTTTATATGATGCTTTGGTTTCTTATGGTAAACAGCGTCTTTTCAAAAACTCAACATAAAGTGAACAAGATCGCATGCCTCAGTAATAATTATTTCCCCAAATGATTTAAAACAGATTTGGTTTGAAAACCGAGGGGAAAAAATGACCAAATTTCCACTCCATTGCAATGGCCAAGAAATGTCCCTAATTGAGACAGTATTTTGTTCAATCCCTAGAATATGCGTTATCAATTATGCCAATAACAAAAAGTTTCGTAGTGGCAAATACAAACCTTAAGGCCTGTTAACACTTCAGGTGAATGCGAAAACGAAGTGAATCTGACGTCATGAAATATATACCCAGAAATCTGGCACGAGTTGAAATGTGTTCAACTTTCACGACTTCGCACTCGAATGTTTGATCTGACGTCACAAATTCGCATTCGTGTTCAGTTTTGCGCGAAGTGTGAAGCAGCCTTTACACGACATGTTCCTCTCGTGCCAAATATAACCCAGCTAGTGCGCAACAGCAATCAGAAACTCCTAAGAGGCACTCGATCATAAAGGCCTTCCAGATTTCCCAAAACCTGTGAAAGGAACGTCACTCCTATTCCTGCGGACCTTACCGAACACCAAATTACGAAAACGGACCTAACGGTATAGGTAATGAATTAAACAATTTTCCACAACGAGAATTCCTTTAAACCTGTTTGTTCAGCCTGCTACTCTTTGCGAGAGTCCTAGAATCAATGACTAATGTGTTTGTTCTTGGTAAAAAGAGAGCATAGGGACTTCAGCCCCTATTGGCCGTGCAGAGGCATATCTGATGCATGCAACTCTCAGACTGTGACGGAAAACACGGATTAGTCTGCTTGTTTTTAGGTGGAAATATCTAATAAAGGTGAGTTCTACAGGTTGGATCTGTGAATAGACATTGCCAGTACTGCTAGCACTTGACTGTTAATGCACTAGTTGCAGGAAACAAGGTTACCTTGTCAGCTGCCTCCATTGCAATGTTACTTGATAACTTGTCTGCCTTTAATTTTTGCCGACCTAGACACGCTTATCAACAAGAAATGCAGTAAGCGTTAGCATCTGAAAGGTAACATCAAGCGCGCAATGTTTTAATAAAGTTACGCTATTGAAAGAGACTTCTAGATGTCATTGAGTATGCCAAGGTATGGTGTGGGCCTAAGCACCAATGTGGAAATACCATCAGTGCTACTAAAGGTGGCCATAATACAGGGATTGGTTGTGATTACTATTTTAACAACATACAGATTGCTGTTGTAGTTCAATGACAAATTCTACATCGCGGCCAAAGCCCCTCATGATTTAGGGGTCAAATTTCAATTATTTCAACAAGAACGTGTACAGTTTAAGGTGATATTGGATTTTATTTAGAAAACAGTTGAAGCACCGCCCCCAAGGGTGAAAGATCTGTCAAAGTGTCAAATTGAAATTGTGGTTAGCATTCAGTATGCTCCAAAGTACAAAAAGTAAGACATAAATTAATGTTGTATACCGGTTATACAAACCCTAGATAAAGGTCAAGATAAACAGACAAAGGTAGCACTTTGGAAGCTGGTTGTGAAATGTCAGCATTTACTTTGATTTCTTTGGGTTTTAATAACTAATGTATCATCACCAGAAAGAAATCGATACACATGTAACTAATCCTAAACAATTCGTTGTTGCACCCTCAATGCTTTTATTATTAATTCACGAAAACAAAGAATGGTGTTGATATTTCCTCAATAAGCACCGTCTGAAAAGACAATGAAGGGCGATAACACGCTCAGCGAGATATCGAAGAGAAAAAAAGATGGCAGAGAAGGCATGAGCCCGGATAAAGAGCTATCACCGGAAGAGCGATGCTGCTGTAGTGGCCTCCAGTGTCTGGTGTCCCCCTACCTCTTCGGCGTCATGGTGTGTTTGGTCAACCTCTTCCAGACAGCTGCTTCAACCGGAACAGGGTAACAACAACATTGTTAGCTTGCTTTTAAGTTGTTGCATTATTTATCAAATTTGGAATGCTTCTTGTGACTGTTCGTGTGTTGGTCTTTTATTTGAGTAGTCTCTTTCTCCAAAGGTTGATTGTGGTTGATTTGCAGAGGAGGTGTTTTGACTACAATAGAGAAACGTTTCCAACTCAGAACCTCTGAATTGGCGCCATTCTTAATCGTCAATGACATTGTGAGCGTGGTCATGGTGCTGTTCGTGGCGTACTACGGCCACACCAGCCACCGACCGAGGCTCATCGGGGGAGGAAGCCTTCTCATCGGTTTGGGTCTACTGCTTTGCATGCTACCTCAGTTCATCTACGAAACGCCTCCGCAGTTTTCAATAGATATTGATCAGAACAGTACAGGAGAGAACGTATACCCGGTGAGCATGTCGGTGGACAAATAAAACCGTGCTTTCTCACGAAGCTCCCATTTCTCAACACGTTCAGAAAGCATGACCTGAAATTTTGCCAATCCTGGGTCATTTATTCTATACAGCATAGAGTATATGTTGTTATCAAGTCGCTGGGATGCACTTTGAAATCTACTGCTGTAGGATAAAAAAATTCCCCTGGATATTTCCCCGATATAAGATGACTTTAATGACGTAATTTTCAGTGGTATGAAGCAACCTGACAGCGAATAGTCTCAATAACATTCCAAGAACTCCATTCAGCCAGATGAGATCTCATCAATTAACAAGAGATGTCAACATTATAGCTAACTGTCTTACAAAGGTTTTTTTAAATTATAGGTTTGTCAAAATACCGAAGGTACACCTCCTGGGTGTACCGAGGAGGAAGAGAAAAACTCCGGTTCGTTAATATGGCAGGTGGCATTGATTATCGTTGGTCAAATACTGTACGGATTCGGAGCAGCCCCAATACTGCCGCTCTCCGTCACGTACATGGATGACAATCTGGATCGGAGCTCAACATCAATTTTTGTTGGTGAGTTACACAGAGCTCCGTAGGTGTTCACGATGCACTAATGATGACTCAATGTAAGTGGCAACACTCACGTACTGTTTTGCAGACGCATGTGCACTAGAAGCTCATGATTAGTCTGCCACAGTTTTTCCACATCATTTGATGCATAAAATAGTGTTGGTCCAGAAGAGGCATTGCTTATAGTCAGTTCTCTATGCAGGCATTGGTCGGAAGCTGTCGCAACTTAACTGTTCTGGAGTTGTTAGGCTACTACTCTTCCCAATAGGCCTTACAAACTCTAAGATTAGCGAAATTTAGCTTCATCACAGGCAATTAGGACATTCTGATCTGTGAGCAATGTTTCTCTGAGCTAAATGCAAAATACTGGAAACAAAAAGTATCAGGGTGATACAATAAACCACCCTCAGAGTATCTGTGAATAACTCTGTTTCCTGTCTGTCTTTTCCTTTCAGTCCTTTAGCTACTGTACATGCTTGTATGAGTAGGGCAGAGCCGTGGTTGATCGGTCAAACAATAAAGACACCTTGTACACGCATACTTTTGGGGACATCTTCCCCATACCCACATTCAAACAAACACATTTATGATATATAGTTTCTGTACCCCCACTCTAGTAAGGAAAACTATTATATATGCATGAGTTTTGGTTTGAATGAGAATGGTAGTGCTGTGAAGATTGAAGAGCATGAGCCAATGAGATGTAAATTAGTAGAAGGTTGTTCGGTTGACTTGGAAGAATTACAGCAATTTTATAAGAGTGTGTTTTGAGCAGATTTTGACTCAATTTTGTATCTTTACTCGGCACGTTTGAGGGGGACAAGTCAACAACATCAACCAGCAACCGTACGTTAAAGAATTTAATATTTACTGTTGAATGACAGAAATATTGCTTTCCTTACTAAATTTATTATTGTGAGATGCACCAGGAATAAGGATGGAAGCAGGATTTTGAAGTAATTGTAGTAACGAACTGATGAACATGTTGAATAATTGGGTTGTATAAATGTGATGGCTCTATCTAGATATTGATCTAAAATTGTGTCAATTGCATTAGAGTTCCAAGATGGAAAGGTCTAGTGATGCTACAATAAGTGCTATATTGAAGGGTGTATGGAAACAACATTAATGTTTCACTTTAATACTGGTGATATAAAATCTGAAAGTAGAGCGAATTTGCATGTTTAATTATTAGAGCATAACATTTTGAGAATTTAATGCACTTGATGAATTCACATGACGGCCCTTGATGATTTTGATATACTCTGGTCTTGATGGTCTTGCAAGAATCTTGATGGCTGGCATGGTTTGAATCTTAATGGCTGGCATGGCTTGATGTTCTGTTCCGAGTCTTGACGGAAGAGGAACTCGTGAAGACGTAACGCGTGTAGACGTGTGGACGTGGAGGGAGGCCATTTGAAGTGGAGTCAAGTAGAAACTGAGCGATCGACCCAGATAATTGATAAAAGCCATCAAGTCAGTTTAATTCATTATTATATAAAGCCTTCCTTGGAGTATTATGTAAGTTATAATTCTTGTGAAATAATTATTATCGCTGTGGATAAATAAGGGTGCGCCTGGAACTGAATTTAAATTTGAATAAAAGTTATCGCTTTGAATTAAATTGATCAAAACTTGTTGACAGCTAACCGAATTTGCTTCTTGAAAAAAGCGGGGTATACAATTTTACTGGAGAGTTACATAAGTTTCGTGCAAACTGTAATTAACAGAGGGTGTATCTCGATTTTTCGATTTTAGCATTTGACCCTTGGGTAGGGCCAGATACATATAATGAAGTTATTTTATCTGTGACTTGTCCTTTTTAATTTATCATTGTGAAGTGTATAATTGTAGTTTAATAAACTAATACAATTACAAGCGAATTTGTAGACTTAATTTTATTTGCCTTGGTTATTGACCACTATTAGAGATAGGTGACTCGTTCTGACTCAGGGGTTTCAATTTGTCTTAGCAAGGATTCAACCGAAAGCTTAACTTTGTCTTTCTTTACTTTTTTATCCAATACAGCTGGCTCTTTCATTGCAACTGCGCTGGGGCCCCTCCTGGGGTACGGCATCAGCGGGTTGAGCCTATCCAGACACTCCGATTTTTACAAGGGACCCGTGTACGCCACGCCAAAGGACCCTAACTGGCTGGGCGCCTGGTGGCTAACCTACGCTATCACCGGAGCGCTGGTTACAATTTCAGGTCTCCCCATTCTGCTGTTCCCAAAGAAGATCCGACGGCGGGCACAGAAAATTAAAGACGGAGAGGAGACAGCGAGAGGATGTGATGAGGGAGCCAGAGAAACAGCCCCGGAGGCAGATGAAAGCGATGATGTTCCTGCTCTGTATCGTCTACAGGTTCACCAGACTGGAGAGGGAATGTGGGCATATGTCAAAGGTCAGACTCAAAAAACTTGATCTGATTTTTCAAAGTCTCTTACTCCTTTGATGGCAGGTCATTCGTTTACTCCGAACAAAATGTCAAGGTGATTCTGAATATTCAGGAGGACAGTGTTAACAGTAGAAGTCTCTAATTCCATGTGACAAAATACAAGCAGTCCTATTTGCCTCTACCTTCGAGAGAGACAGGACACCCCTCGACTAATTACTCTCTCTCTCTCTCTCTCTCTGACGCTTTTTACAGGCTTCCTCAGTGCCATCCGTCGCCTAGTTACCAGTCTTCCATTTGTGTCCTTGGTTTTGGGTGTCTGCGCGATCCTTTTTGCCTTAGGTGGCACCATAAACTTTATGGCGAAATATCTGGAGACACAGTTCTCCTTGTCAGCTTCCACAGCACCCATGCTGTTCGGTAGGTGATTCAACCTTTCTTTCCTCTTTCTGCTCCTTACACACCGAGATCCTGACTACTCAGAGACTGTACCCATGGCAGACCCATGTGATAATGATACTAAACGTAGCCGATGATCTTCCTAATGCAGCAGAAGAGTTTTTAGCGTGCGATGAAGGCTCAAAACGCCAGTTTTGAGGGAATGTGAATGTGAGCAAACACTTCATGGAGATATGCCTACCCTCACTGTGCACTCTGGGATTAAAACAAGGTTTGGGAAACTCCATGGGATCAAAGCAGGTGTGCTTGGAAGGATAACACCATACACATGGTTCGTGATATTCTTCCCAGGGGTCACAAAAAGGTATGAGGAGAATTCCCGACCACAAACCAAACCTGACCTTTGCAACCATAAACTCGAATGTGTACAAAAGGCTCCTTTCCCACCTCTTCCCACCAGGTATAATACTGACCCCTGGGGCTATTTTCGGCAACCTGATTGGTGGATTCGTGGTCAAGAGGATGAAGTTGTCTAAGAAGGGATTGGCTCGAATGATCGTCATCGTCTTACCCTGGTTCTTCCTGCTTACTCCACTGTACCTCCTCCTTGGATGCGATAACGGAGACATTGCTGGCATCACTACCAGCTACATAAACATGTAAGCTTGTGGGACGTTTGTCAGTTAAAACTGATCCACGCCTTAACAAAACCATGAAACACTCACCAAAATGTTTGTTTGTCGATGGACAAAAATGACGTGAGCATCGATCAAATTTGCATGGCATATGTAACGTGTCACTGCAGTTACTCGGTGATCTCGGAATGATTTCGCCATAGATCCGACCACCCTCTGCTTACCAAACAGGGCTTTTTAGAGAAATGCCCCGTTCGGAATGGGGCTGAAATATTACCTGATCGAGGTATTACCTGATCGAGGCCGCATTGAAGTGAGTTTTTGTCCTTGAAAAAAACTTCAAGGCTACAAGTTTGGACAGTAAATGTAATAATTTCAAACTTTCTCTTTTCCAACAGGAGAGCAAACTAAAAAAAAGAGGAAAAATAAACTTTCGGACTTGAACCGAGAATTCTTGTAACACTAATCCGCTTTCTTACCCACTACGCAAGGCAAACCAGCTTGACTAGACTTGTCTTTTTTATTTCGTGCCCATAACTCTACATATGACGCTCAGGCTGTTGCATAAGCCAGCTAATACCGAAAGATATTTTGATCCCCTTCTGAACATGGGCATTTCTCTTTAAAGCTTCGGCTGCTAACAGCGGTGAGTTGTCGGTCCGGTGGATTTTCTCCACGAGACAGTTTGTTATTATTCCAACTGCGTAGGCCTGTGCCCAAAATGAAGCGTTTCCGAGGTCATTCAGAAACAGCCAAATAATACCCACGAGACATATCCCATTATTAGCATGACCATGCGCAGGCTAGCACGCGTGCTTTTTTCCCCAATGACCTTGTGAAAACCGAACTGGTTCAATTCATAGATTAGTTCATTAAAATGTTCTAATTTATGTGCTCATGCGCACAAATGGCGAGTGGAGGCAACCAACTGGAGCGGCCTGTTAAGAATGTACAGGGGAACAACTTTCAACATCATTTTCTGTCAGCTTCAGACTGCACTGTTTTTTCACTTTTGTCTCCGGAAAACCCTCTAAAGTCATTATAGCTATTGCTTTCTGATGTAAGAGGAATTTTTAGAGAACAAAATAAACACTTGAGCATTTTCGTTCGTTCGAAGCGCACGAGGCCGAAAGGAATTAGTAGGGTTCCGTTCTGTGTGAGCTGTAAAACAAATTATGCGATACGTTAGGGCACCATCCGTCATTCTCGGTCAACAACGTAAGTGGCGAAACAAAAATCTGATGAAGGTAGCCCGCCATTCAACCTGCGTTCAGCCCGCGATTCAACATAGTACGAGTGGTTCATAGTGCCCTGGATTACCAACTACTTGGACATGGTCAGAAAGAAGTCGTGTTAATTTCCTTTGACCTCATGCGCTCGGGGAGAAAGCAAAGACTTTTTATTTCCTGCGGCGTAAAATCCTGTCAGACGAGAAAGTAATGATTTTATTTTCCGAAAACAAAAGTGACCATAAATGCAGAAGCTCAGAGAAAATGACGTTACAATTTGTGCCCCCGTGTAGTCTCAATGGGCCGCTCAAGCTTGTTGCTTCCACTTGCCATTTATGCGCAGGCGCGCATGAATTAGAATTTATTAGTGAACTGGTCTATTGTTCAGGACAGACGCAAAACTCCCAGAGCTGCTGGCCGAATGCAACGTTGACTGCGCATGTCAGACGCGGTATACACCAATCTGCGGCTCCGATGGCATGACGTATGTAACACCGTGTCACGCAGGTTGCCTAGCAACGGCACGAGGGGAGCTTGGAGGAGAGGAAGGTGGTAATGTAACGGTGAGTAAAGGTTATTTAGGCTGGAACACTTAAGAAAACGAATGACAAAATGACATTGACCCTTCAAAACACCACAATAAATGTAATGTTAGAAATTCCGCAGACTCGCCCAGAAAGATTCAGACCAGGCAAAATTAGCATTATTTTGTTTTGACTTGGTTACTGATTTGTTAAAAGGAGCCAGGTAATCACTATTTATACGGAAACAACGAATCGCATTCATGACATAATCCTGTCTAATTTTTAAAGTGAAGTGCGCGACAAACAGGCTTTACGAGAGGAAACGGTTCAGTGTTGAGCTTGGAAAGAATTTTAAATGTAATAGACGGACATCATCATGTGTTGGATGTGGTGGTAACATTGGACTAGCGATGAGCAACTCTGTTTTCTCACAGATCTTCACAGACTGTGGGTGCACTGGTACAAACAGTTCGGATGACCCATTAGGCTTGATCGGAAGCTACGAGCACGTGGCGGTACCGGATGAATGTCCTCATGAATGCAAAATGCTTATTCCTTACGTTGCTTCGGTGACGGTTGGGTCGCTCATCACCACACTATCGGGGAATCCAAGTTTTATGTTGCAGCTCAGGTACGGCTAAGATAGTTCCGCAGAAAAATTGATATTGTATCTGCTAGTTACAACTGGTCGTCATACTCTCCCATTTACCTAAAGGCAAGACATTTCTCTCTGATAAGCTTCCCAACATCATTAGTACAGAGATATACTCTATAAAATGAAGGACTTCTGATTCCCGTAAAATAACGGGTATTCCCCATGTTCCATCTGAAAATACGGCCTTTTTCCCGTGAATGGATGTTTACGGAAAAATTCCGTTCATTTTTCTCCGTAAAATTCCGGAAATTTCTAAGAGTGTACCGTTTGAAAACCAACACGGCCAATATTCGCTTTATTTACTTTTGTTTCAGATTAGTAAATGATGATGATCGATCCGTCGCTGTTGGGTTCACGTCTATGTGTCTACGGTTACTAGGTTGGTTTAATGATACATTTCCTTTCAAAAGAATCCGAAATAAAAATGGATAACTGAGTGCGTAACCTTTGCCAGTTTGATCTTTTCCTTCTCTTTCTCATTGGTAGGATTTATTCCATCTCCTATCATCTTCGGCGCGGTCATCGATACCGCTTGTCTCCTTTTCCAGTCGTCGTGTGGGAAGACAGGAAACTGTCTGATCTACGACATCGTTCATTTCAGATACGCTTTTAATGGGCTGACCGTTGGTATCAACTTTCTGGCATTTGTCATGTTCTTAGTGTGTTACCTCTCGCTAAAATCGACCGACGAAGCCGAGGTAGGTCGGTAAGCGGACGCTCTTGTAAAAGTGTTGTATTACTGGGAATCATCCCCATTAATCGACCACCCTTTTTAAATAAAGTTCTACTCATTCACTACACAGCTTGTAGTGCGTCTCTCACTACAGCTTGTCGTTCCAAAACTTGGTGGTTATCATTTATCCTCGGTTGTCAAACAGTAGTCTTCAAAGTACCATTGTTGTGGCCACGTGTTTCTCGGCAATTTCATCACAGATTACGTGACAATTATTTCGAATTTTACAACTTCAGATCACATTAATTTTAAAGAATCAACAATTCACTTATATTGTTTATTGGGCTCGGTGCACTTGTATGCGTCACATACGATTATTTTTACAAACGTGTAGCGATTCCAGGAAAAACCCGTCGAGAATGGAGAATACAACGCAGACACTTGGGATGAAGGCCTTCAGAGAGACGATGGAGCAATTTTGCAGACGGAGGACATTCAAGACACGGGCATCTGAAACGCTTTACATTGCAGCCATCTGTTATTGCGGGGCTACTAATAGTAAACCTTTGACAATTATTCTTAGCTTGAACCACTGTGAATCAATTTGAACCGGAAAAGCTTCCAATACCAGCTAAATCCTACTATATAAGGGAATATTCATCACAGATACTGCTTAGTCTATCTATTAAAGTATATTCTCGCTGTCTTAAAGATCACACTCACGCTCATCCAATTGATTCCTTCAAAGTTACTGCCACTACTTTACAAATATACATCAATAATTAATCAATAATTTGAAATTATTTATTGTCTGTATACAGTCTTAATCTACAGAAGGTAGACTGTAAAGAAGGAAAGTTCATTAAACATAAGCGTATTTGATTAACTTACGCTAATGTTGAATTGTCTGTAATGCATAGCTTTACAAACCCTAGCTTAGTATGAGACTCTCGATGTACATATCCCCAGTGGATCATGGTAGAGCTTACTTGTTTTGTTGTTCTTGAAGTGTTATCACCACGAATTAAAATAACACCTTATCATTTATCAATGCGACTTAAAATTGTGCTAACTCAATAGTTTAATAATGTTAGCATTGTTAAATGCTCACTCTGGTGTTCGCTATGGGGGCCTCCGATTACAAAGCCTGATGACTGTAGTCTTGTTTTACTGCCCACATTGCTTAAAACAGGGATATTTATTCGGGAAAGGATTTTGGAACTAAAAAGCAAGAGAATAAATAGACTCTTACGTTGTGTTTTGAGTAGAATTATTGGAGTTTTTTGGTAACCTGCAGAACAAATAGTGGCTTGGAATTTAAGGCTGTCAATGTATTCATGAATGCTTCAACTCTGTATCATCAATTACACAATCTTAACATGGAAACCCAATAGTACATGTTGCTGGGCTTAAAGACCAGTGTCATCAGACATTGAACTTTGGAATTATGGTTGGGGAATCACTCCGTCGATCCTTTGACCTGTAATTTGTTTTGCAATCTGTCGAGGCTTGAAGGAATTATCAGTGGGAATACTTCGTTTTTATATCAAGTTCCTAACGACCAATTGCCGCTGTGTGGATGCTGTTAGTGAATTATTTCGAATCTCTGATCAATTTTTTAGCTAAACATTCACAAAATAGCGCACGATAAGCCATACCCGAGGCAGACTTACAGAAACCAAACGACCCCTTATAGTCAAGTCAAAGCCTGCGTAGAAGACTGCATTATTAAATGTGGCAGTGCAGTTTTCCTGCATACAATCCCAGATCAAAGGTGCAGTTTGGTAATTTTTGTAATTGAACGCAGGTACTTTTGTCTGAATGATGAACGACAAAAGATGGAATGCCGGTACACTAAAATGATAATAGCTAGGTTTGTTTCTCTCTGTAAAATAAAGAGGATTGCTCAATGGAGTGAATTTTTCATAACTGCAATCAATCTGTTCTGTCTTTTCTACTCTGATGTCTTATGGAAGTAATAATTTGTAGGTGCACAGTTACCTTATCAACTATGTTTAGCCCGTAAGCAAAGTAATACCCACAAAATTCTGCCCAACACACGAACCCGTAAACGCGGACTTTAATACCTGTCCTGATTTTGTTGTTTAACTTCACGGTATTTCATGTGTCGTATTTTCATTATTTCGACATAATTACATGCACATTTTTTTTCATCGAGAAAAGATTTTTCCGATCTGAAACGGAGGGATTGGCTACCACTTTCTTATCAAACTCGTAAAGCTTCATCAGATGCTTTGTATGTTCCTCAAGGTGAGCGGTTTGATTCTTTTTCTCTGACTTGATCCAGTTTTGAAATGACAATAAATGAGATTGGCTTGCTTTGCAATGATGCTCTTGATTGTAGTAATTGCTGGTTCATATTTCTCAAACTGAAACTTTATCAGCTTAATTAAAGTCATTAAAGCTGAGTTTTGATGTTTAAACAGGAACGTCATGGAAGGCTTCGCAGGTTTTGGACATCGATTTGATTTTCTCTCTCACCATTTTGTCAGGAGAAAGACAACGTCACGTACGTAGGCCTACATTTATTTAGGCGGATTAGCTAACAACTTACATCCCTGAAATTTTGGTTCTCTAAACCACGCCACCACTCGTTGACATTTTACAGCCACAAACACAATACTTTACTGTTTTGTAAGACTGCCCTCTGTGTAAATGCGCAAATCGTGGCGTATGCAGGGGGGGCGGAGTAACTGCTCCACTGGGAATTCTTGCCCTCCCCCTTGCTTCTTTGGAAAATCTGGATTTGGGGAAGCTGTCGCCTCTCCATCTGTAGTGTGTTATACATTACTTTACTTAAGTGCGGACATGAACCTTTCTTAACTAGGTTCTCGAGCGAGTAGTCCGTTATACAAACCCACTGGCGGAGCTGAATGCAAAGGGGAAAACTCTCAGCGTGTGGAGAATCTTGCCCCCTTCCCCCAGAAGAGCCTGGCAACGCCACTGTGCTTAAACATGCTTCACTTACCTGTACGATCAATGGACGTCTGTTATTCCAACGGGACATTTGCTCCAAATTCACGATGATCGACTTCAGCAGAGTTGTCACACGAATTGCCTCTTAATTAAAAGAAATTCGGAATATAAATTGTCTACGGGTCTTGCAATCGTGGCCAGAGGCATCGTAATTGGAAGTTTATATTTTCTTTTACTTACTCATGTTGAGCAAGTGAAGAGAAATTTACTGATCAGAAGTTGGTTTTGGTGTCCAAGTAAAAAGAAAACAGGTCAGTATTTTCATTATCAACAAAAGAAACAACAATGACATCCGGGTGGTACTTTTGTGTACAGGTAAAAAGAAATCTGAAGGGTTCATATAGCCCTGCAGTTATTACAGATAAAAACCAGCAAAACAAAAAACAAGAACTGCTGCTCTCTCTCTCTCTCTCTCTCTGAGAGAGAGAGAGAGAGAGAGAGAGAGAGAGAGAGAGTTTCTGACAGCAACATAAACGTGTTTTGTTGTAACGACCCAGGTGTAAATTTAACTTGCATAGAGTTGCAGGTGGTGGTTCATAGGAGATTCAAACATACACTGAAATAACGCATACTCATCTGCCCAGCCCCTTTAAGAGTTTACCTAGCCTTGACCTAAACTTAGATGTTTATTTTTCGTACAATTCACGTCCATTCAAGTACATGCTATTCAAACTTGCCAGTGTTTGGTATGGGGCAGGCAATCATGCATGTTAAAAAAATATATTTCTCTTCACAAAAGTAAAAGATAATGCAAAATATTTCTTTGTACTAAAAGCCATCACAGGTTTCTAATCCAGTTTGTATTATGAAAAAACCTGGAATAGAGTTTCACGGATGAACTACTCTCAATTACCCAGGCAGTCTTTTTGCAGAGTGTACGATGCGTGGGAACCAGAAAGCTGTTCAAACTTTTCTATTGCGCAATGGTGTTCAACCTAACAGTCTCCCAAACTGAAATGCATGCGTCGTGACAAAACGTCCACAGGTTGATTAATTGTATCTACTTGTTTAGATTTGTTTTTCCTGTTTATGCCACTTGTTTTGTCGAGCACACCCTGATGCTCCTGCTACTGTGTCCAACCTGGGAAAGTGGGTTGGCAACCTAAATACATTTTTTTAAAATGTTCTCAAAGGCGCAGGGAAAAATGGCAAAAAGTGATACGACGATTGTGCTTGACATGAGCGATCTGAATGAAGCAAAATATGCTGAAAGCAACAAAGCATAGAGATTTTCCTGCTGGTAACTCCTGCAGTGGCTCAGTCGCTGTTGCCTTGTTGCCGGCGCTTTCAGCAACTCAGGCTACTGGAGCCAATAACTGCACGTTAAATCACAATCTTTATTAATCAGAATCACATTACGGAGGTAGCAAGAAGGTTCAGGTTTATGGGCAGGGGGAAACATGTGAAAGAAAGAGTATGGACTGGAAACCAAATGAATTTAAAAGTCTGGGCCAAGCCGAGACTGGAGCCTGGGCGTTGTTGGTGCACAGCGAGGAAAGAACCGCTTCGCTAACCCGCTCCCCAATAGTGGGTCAGTTCCCTAAAAACTGTTATTGGTTGTTTTTTTTTAACTGTTGTGAAGCTCCCTATCCTGCTGACACTTGCCACAAAGAAAACGAGTGGGAGGTGGCAATTATTGTAAGTGGGGCTGTGTCGGTAGGACACCAAAAGAAAAGTAGGCCAGCACCAACCTGTGCAAAAAACATTTCAATGCCTTCGAGTTGGCCCAGATTCGGCTCTGGGTGTTTTCTTGAGGAACACATTGTTAACATAGCTAAAGCACAGGGTCACATAAGGTTCCATGCTATATATGTCAAGGACGACTATTGAAGAACCCTCCGAGTATCACTGCTTTGGCATAGGTTAGAATCTCATCTTTGCCTTTGCTTACTGCCAACTTACTGCATAACACAGGGCTAGGGCTTTAGTATTTTAGATTCTGTAATCAATCAAACAAGTCAAGTTATAAAAGAAAGTCTGCTTTGGTTTAAGATATATTCAAATGGCGTTCATAAAGCCTGGTTTGTTCCTTCCACAGGTGTAAATCCCATGGGATAGGGGTATATATCCCCCACTTTTGACCAGGAAACGGGCTATTGAATCATCTCCCACGACATTTTTGTGCTGCAAAAAAAAAAATAAGCGGGTTTTGAAGAATTTTTTTACTTTCCAACGACCAAAACGTATTCGATAGGAGCCTACTCCAAAAGGAAAACAATTATTAAAAACATGAATATGCCGTTCTGATTAATGTAGCCAAGGCCTAATGTACACCGGTTTCATGAACATAGCCTCTATATAGTGTTATGTGTCATTCACACTCCTCAAATATCTAGGATCGGTAAGTCCCCCTCCTACAAGTTTCCATCCCCAATCCCCCCGATTTCCAGCACACATTTACGCCACGGCAGGGTTCCTTTATCATAGTTTGCTTTAATTAACGCAGGCAACTTGTGTTCCGGTTCAGTCAATGGGTAGGTTGATGCTGTAAGTGTACTTCTGCCCCTTCACTCAACAGTACGCTGTTCCAGTATCTTTTTCAAAGGGCCCGTGCTATGTCATCTTAATGCATTTCTTGTAAGTGCACGTTTGTTCAACTGAACTCAATTTTCAGGGTATTGCCCTTATCTTTTACAGTAGTGTAAATGTGCACATACACAAGAAAAATTGAGATGCCATCCAGGGCAGATTCCTCAGTATTCAAGGTATTCAAGCATTGAACATTCGCCAAATTTTGGATAATTTTGTTTACTTTAATGAATTGTTGTTTCAGTCAGCTATTTTTGGAGCTCGAATTCGAACAGAAAATCTCCAAAATTAGCAGTGTCTTCCTGCAACGACATCATTGTGACTGCAGCCCCAGCTTCCAGAAAAGGTGTGGAAAATCCGAAGTATTGAGAGTAACTATATAGAACAGGATGTCAGAAGTTTTCTTTCAAGAGGAGTATACAGTTGCATAAAATTTGTTCCCAATGAAATTAATGCCAAGGACCCTTTTAATGATTAACGAATTCTTTTCATTCTGTGATTGAAATAGTTTTTCTCCCTACCAAATTTGAAATTAGGCCAGACAGGAAAGCGAAATCGTCATTTTACTTGAAGGTACAACCCACAATCCCAGCGCAATTATTCTGATTTCAAAGCATGCAATCAGAAAGATCAGATCAACAGGGTGATTCTGGCTGGTGTTGGAAGGGGAACACTCGAATGGAAGGCGAAGAAAGACTGGCTGCCATTACTTGCATGCGACAGTAGTGGTTTCAGGAAGTCATCCCACAAAACATGCCCGAAGGCCCATTCACGAGCACTTTACTCGTTATCTTTCGCAGCATATCGTCGACGACGGGATTGTAAGATAAGATAGTTTAACCCTAACACTACTGTTTAATGTGTTGACACTGCAGTATTTCGTAAAGTTCAAAGTCTTCTAATAGGAAATATCGTAATTATAAATGATAGACAGCTGGTGGGAGAGTCAGCTTCAAAATCACACAAACTGGCAGGATCTGAGATTGCAATTGGCACTTTATCACACCTAGCGTTATCACAGGGGACAATGAAAAGCTGTGACCTTATTGGCAGCTTGTCACGCCTTTGACAGTGACCAGTTGTTCAAATTAAGTTAATCAATGCGCCAACTGTCCTGCGCATCCCCTGACTTAGAATTCAAACATTGGTCACCAATCAGAGGCCAAATGGCGTGGCCTCCGTAGACGTGGATGAAATAGCATGATGTTATATAGCAGATTTGACAAACCACTGGACATTTCCTCTTCAACACAGCTGAACATGCAAATCGTCTGATGCACGCATTCTATCACCGGATACTTTGCCGATCTCTATCAAGGTAACTTTTCCTACTTTTTTTCGCGCAAGATTGGAAAAATTATGAAGCCGTAAGGTTGGCGGGAAATCACTTCCATTTAAAACATTTGATCAGGACATATGTCCTTATGCTTTGGCTAAAATAAAATTGAAATATAAGTTAACTGTACTGTGCTGACAAACTCATTTCAAATTTGGACTTCGCAGACCCTGACCAAGCTACGAGTCTGCTTTTTCTGGTTGCGTCTTCGTCTTAAATAATGGGCTTAAATTTCTTCAGTCGTCCCTGGGCTTTTGGCTTGTGCTTTGCCCTTTTCACCTGCTTCCAAGTGACCGTGGGGCTGTACATTGCTGGCGTCCTCACCACCTTGGAGAAGCAGTACCGGATAACCACCTCGGTAGCTGGATTGGTGCTCTCCACCAGTGACTTCGCCAGTCTCATCTCGATCCCTTTGGTGTCGTACATCGGTGACAGATGGCACAGGCCACGCATCGTCGGCGTGCTAGGGGTAATGACGGCAGTCGGTGGGTTCTTGAGTGGGGTCCCGCACTTCTTATACCCGGCTTACAGAGAGGGAGACACCCTGCCAAGTGGTAACAGCACAGGGTAAGCAGCAGATCTATTGCATTCAAATTGAAGTGTCGTACAATATTTACTCTAAACTAGGTTAAAGACACATGCCGGTACGTTTACTTTCTCATTATGCGTACGTCCAGCTAACCAGTTGTGTCATGTTTGTTTTCCTTCCATAACGGCAAGTTATCCAATTCCGATCAATCTTTATATACAAAACTACGTTTTTCTCCCTCTCTCTTTTGGATCCAGTTCCAGCGTATTTGTTTGTGATGCGACGAGAGAGGATGAAACATGTTCCGCTGATGACATCAGTCAATCTGGCTCCAGGATTCATGAGATGTGGGCTTTATTGCTGGGTCAAGCTCTCATGGGCCTGGCCTACGGGCCAGTGTTTCCGATTGCTCTGACCTATATTGATGATCAAGTTAAAGGAACAACCACACCCTACTACATTGGTGAGTCCGTGTATACACGTTTGTGTCTGACTCTGGATGAGCTTAATCTATCACCAACCTTTGTAAGGATCAGTGCTGTCCAAGAGCTTTAAAGGAAAAAATCACATGTCTGCTCGTGCTGAGTTTGGAAAGCTTGTCTTGTAAGTTTGTCAGATTTCTTGCTTGAAAATATGAATTCTGGGTATTTCACCGGTGCCATATTTTTGAACTTAAAGAAAGCCTTTGATACTGTTCAATACAATTGTCTCATTGAAAAACTTAGCAAATTCCAGTGTGCGTGACCTTGATGACGGCATATAACCAAACTTAGTGACAGTTACTCTGTGTAAGGACGTGACTGCCAAAAGGATGCAGCGGAAACGTCTCAGTTTTAAAGTGTTCCTCCCTTCGGGTTTACAACTGATTTATTTACAAAACGCTATATGTAAGCATGAAACGAACAAGATTCGATCAAGGATTTGCAAAATGAAGTTTATAATCTTTTATAATCGACTGTTCAATTGCCTCTTTAGTTTTCGTATTATTAGTTATCCAATTTATTCTGTTAATCCAAAATAAATCAAATTCAAATTCCAAGATGCAGTAAATCAAATTTACTGCATCCACAAATTCCATTGATAGGCCTACTTCCAGCAAAGGAAAGGAACTTTGTCCTAACAAAACATCAATGAACTTATAGAATAATCTGTCAAAATAAATAAGGTATTTACAATTACACGTTTCTTCAGTGACAAGTACTTGAGTTTTGCTCAACTACTGGCCTTGACAACAAAATCTAACAGGTTGGATTTTCCTCGGTTCTGTTCTAACCGTGGCAGGGTTGTTGTTGCATGAGACACCTGATTTGTGCCTACTGGGCAAAAATGCCTCTAAATTGTGTCAGGTTGCCAACGAGAAAAGACTTTATAGGAGTAACTCAAATGTTTCCCACATCGTTTCTTTTTCACAGTTCACTCAAACAAGCTCAAGCTAATTTTAAATAATAAAAGAAGCAGCTTTTTGCCAGAACGTGGTTAACCTAATTTACTAAAGAAAGAGACACAAACATGAGTTCACCTTCAATGCTGGTTTATTGTTCAACACATGGAGTGAATATGTAGCCAACTTGTCAATTTGAGATTTGAGACTTCCTAGTCGACTCCCATCACTAATTCAACTCTAAATTTAACAATACTTCCCTATCAGTGAAAGAAAACTAGGCAAACTACACAAAAGACCTGCATGGAAAGACTCCAACTGGAGAGATGTATAAGATGAGAAAGTTCATGAAGAAGACTCATGGCCTGGTCAACCTAAATTGGGGGGAAAGAACATTCCATTAAAATTTGAGGAATAAAACAACTAATCATTACACCAACACATCAAAAGCCAAAGAAGGGCGCAAAAGGTAGAATATCTTACACTCTGCCTACGCTGATGTGAATTTTGGGGTGCCTGGGGTTCAACGCTGGGTCCAGTTTTGTTTACCTTGTATATCAGTGACCTTATAAATGTTGTTCCTCCAGACTCCAGAAACTTTTTATATGCTGATGAAAAACCCTTTGAGCCCGGGCTAAGTCTGTAGGCAAAGTCAATAGAGCTCTTAATAGGGACATGGCTGTAATATTCAAATGGTTGCAGGTGTATTTCTGAACTCTGAATATCAATCAAACTAAAAGTATGCTGCTCTACACTCATACCAGTTAATAAGGAGCAAGGACAACTTGCATATCGAAACCAATGCTGTTGATAATGTTACTTATCGTAAGTATCCAGGTGTCTGGTTAGACCCATCGTTAACATGGAACGTTCATATTGATAAACCAGGTAAGAAAGTTAAGCGTGTCGGGGTTCTCCGGAGCGTCAGAAATGTCCTCCTATTAATACTGCACACTATAAATCTGCTTTACAAAACTCTGACTTTGTCATAGTTTATTTATGGGCTCTTCAAAAAAAACCGCAGTAAGCTCGACAAACTTCAAAGCAATGGTGGGAAAGTTATTTTGGGTCTTCCCCGGAGAGGTCACACAGACTTTGTCCTGTAGACTTTAGGGTGGTCTACCTTAGAAGAAAGACTACCTTTCATTTGGTCACATTATCGCGCCTTTCCAAATGAACGTGTTTTGGCGCATTGCGTATAAGCTTAAGATTAAGATGCGTTCATGCGTTTCACCTTCACGGACACAAAAATTAACCCATTCATTCGAATGCACGTGTACGTTGCGTTCAGAAGTCAAAACCACCCCGGGAGCGATTTTGACGGATATGCAACGTTTGGCGCAAGTGCTGACGCGCATACGGAAAGACAGCCTTAGCATATAAGAGACTCACAGTGAAGTTACCATCAGAATTGTGCATTAACTGCTCCATCCACACTGCAAATATGTAAAACACAAGGTCTGTTTCTTATGATGACCTTGTTCCATTTCGTGAAACTACATGTGGAGAACGTTCATTTGTGCTTCGAGCATTTAATGCTCTCTCTACATCATTCAAGTATTCTCTTCCTACATCTGTAGTGAGTTTTAAAAGCTCATATAGGAACATGTAATTGTAAGCTTTGGTCTCCGAAATTATGTAAGTTTCCACTGCCAGTCTGTAATTGTTGTGTGCTTTTTGTGTCATGTATGTGTGCCTAATATTTTTGGTACCTTGTTTTAGTGCAGGGTACTCTTGGATTTAACTGTATATTTGTTTACTACCTGATAAAAAGGGAATAAATATGTGCTTGGCCAGTCTTAAACGGGCGTTTAAGACCGGCTCAGGAGAGTGGACGCGACTATGCCCGAGCCGTAGGCAAGGGCATTATCAGCGTTCATTCTCCAGTGCAAGGTCTTAAACATTAGTTTAAGACAGGCCAAGCACATATTAGTTTCAAATCCTAAATACCTTTTATTCAGACAGTCAAAAGAAGTGAACATACGATGTGTTTCCAACGATTTTGTTCTAAAATTGTACTTTCATTTACCCGACTCCCCCGTCCTTTTTATGGTATATTCCTTTTGAAAGATGTCCAATAGAATCCCCTTCAATGAACATGGTGCGTCGCGTGCACACAGACTCCCGGCCAATCAGACCGATTAAACTGTATCCATATGCCAGCGTGTGATTTACGCAGCGGGCATTATCACTTCTCAGCAGTCATTATGAAATGTTAATACATGGTCATGTGACGCGTTTAGACCAATAGGAATAGAAAAACTGTCCCAGGAATTTATGATAGAATATCAATGAATTCTTAAAGAGTATAATTGCACAGGAATATAGTAAGTATGAGTAAGCCTGGTTTCCATACGGTCGTTAATAACGCAGATAGAACACGACGCCAAGATGCCGATATTCGCGGAAGAGACGCTATGCGACGTCATTTCACCCCAAAAAATGGCGTCTTAAACTCGGAATGTATTTGCAAAAAAAATTGTTTTTTCAAAGGTGATGTACACCATTGGTTTTTTTTTTTTTTTGGTCGTAATTTCACAAAATTGGCTGATTAGGGTGTGTAATATTCTCTGCAACTTACATACCACTCAATTGTTTCATGATTGAGTCAACTGCTTTGTGAAAAATCGAGAAAAACACCGCGGCATTTTCAACGCTTAAATTGAAGGTATGGTAGTTTATCTCGAGTAAAATCTATGGATTATAGGGCATTTGTAGTACAAGCGAACATTGTCTGCGGGGTCAGGATGGGAAACTAGCATGACAGGTTCTCATTCCCTTAAAAAGGGAGCAGTTGTCAACGGCTAGGAGTAATCAGTGAAGCCTCCTCTACAATGTAGCGTTGCGGATTCATGAACAAACTTCATCCAGGAACACAGCAGTCGATTCGTCCCATTGTGAAGAGACACGTATCCGAATCCTACAACGACCCCTTCATAGATAATTTGGCCCAAGACTCCCACAACATCTGCAAACACTACATATAAGAAATTTGGCGCCTGTTGAAGGATGTGATGTGCGAAGTGAAATTAAATCTATTACGATGGTCGACCAACCGTCGTGATAAAAGAGAACAATTTTTTGTTTCTCTCGAAAACTACAGCATTCTGGGTGGAAATACTTTACAGACTGATTAGCACTGCAGTGAACTTTCTTTCAAGTAAGATATTTCAGGATTATACGGTAGTCCGATGTTCGGGATTTTACCAATGGTGCAAACAACCTTTAAGTGGCAATGTTGCCTCTTGAAACCAAACTGATACTCTAGTTTAATGTAATTTGCTAAGAGTCAGCTATTTTGTTGACGATTGGGGTTGCATATGCTAGCAATAAGGAGAAGATGGACAAAATCATTTGTACTAGCGAGAAAAACATCGTTGTAGTACACCAGTCATGCCAGCGTGCATGTTTGTTTCGGCCAACTCAGCAACTTAACGCAGACAGTCGGCAAAGTTGAGCCCGGACTCAACTTTGCCGATCAGTCTGGGGCTGGTTTGCGTTTGTGACGACACTTCCGTTTGACATCCCATATTTCAGCGTTGCAGTTTGCGTCTTGATGGCGTTGTTCTCTGTGCTTCTCACTCCGATATGGAAACCATGTACCACAAGATGGCATTTGCAACCTGCCAATGGTATACGTGCTAGCGTCAAACACAAAACTGTGTGGCATGTCGAGGTAATCTATCGGTAAGATTTAGCTGAAGCTGCCTCGACAACGAACACACCATACAGCGGTTGACATATGTCAAATTTACCACTGTCTCGGGAAAATAAAGAATGCACTAAACAAAGCAACTTCCCGGGGAAATAAACCAGTTTCCTGTTCTTTCCCTTTTTCTCTCAGCCGGTATCCTGACGGCTGGTACAAGCGCTACCCTGGTCGGGTATGGAGAGGGTTTCCTGTTCCTAAGCTTGTTCGTCGACTGGCCGCAGCAGTACGACGGCACCAAGGAGTGGCTGGGCGCATGGTGGATGGGTTTCATCGTGACCTCAGTCATCCTCTTGCTCCTTTCTATTCCTTTCTTCTTCTTCCCAAAGGAGATGGATGTGGAAATAAAAGAGGAAGACATCCCAAAGGAGAAGTTAGCCTTGGAAGGAAAAGGCGATAATAAAATCTCTGTCAAAGGTGAGGCTTAAGTGCGAGGGTTAAATTGCCTAATATGTTTTGAGCACTCGATCACGGATATCTTCACATTTACAAAACTACAAAATCGTAAAGCAAGATCCAAGTTTATGAAAAGATTAGACTACCTCTTCGGTCTTGTCTATTCTCAATCCTTACAAACCTTTTCTCCCCTTATTTTCGCTAGATTTTCTCGTCGTATCCAAACGACTCGTCACCAACTTCGTGTTCATAACGCTGTTGATAGGAAGTATCTTCGATCTGGCGATAGGAGCTTCTTTTGGCTTTTTCCTGGCAAAGTTTCTTCAGATTCAATATAACATACCGGCAGCCCAGTCCTCCTTATTTGTTGGTATGTTACCATCGACCCAGTTATAATGCTCGTCAAATCCTCACCATCTGTTGGCGACTAAGGAAAGACCCTGATTTGAAAAAGTGGAAAAGGATAACCCAATTACACATACTGTTATGTATATAATGTTGGAGCCATGAAGAAATTTATTAAATATTGCAATATAAAATAAAAAGTCAACTGCTCGGTTATTAAAAGCGAGGTGTCTAGGAGGACATTAAACAGCAAAGTTTGGAGCAAAAACCAAGACAAAAAGCAATTACTATATAGTTCCCTGAAGTCAGCTAACATGTACCATTCATCCTACACTGCCGTGGATACATGTTAACCATGTACATAAACTTTAGTCTTTAGTGATGTCCTCGTGTCCTTCCCTTCTTGAAGGTATTATCATCATGCCCGGAGCCCTAATTGGCCACATGGTAGGTGGACTTCTAGTGAAGAAGCTCAACTTGGATTCCAAAGGATGCGGCAAGGTTGTTCTGACACTCGGTGTGATAGTCATGTGCTGCATACCAGTCGTATACTTCCTCTCATGTCCCCAACCAACTTACGCCGGCAATATGGACGGGGTAATCAGGTGAGAGAGTGGTCATCAGAACACAACTTAAACGTCCCATTCTATAGTCACAGAGCAGCTATCGTGATAGGTGCGCTCTCCAATAAGTACAGCTTCCTAGTATCGCCACTCATAGTCCGGAAGAACAAGATGCATTACTCAGACTGCGAGGAGGGTAGATTAGCCAAAAGCTGCTCGAAAAAGGGTAACATCTGCTGTCAGCACGTCTCCACGTATCTGTGACAGGCAAACGCCAAGATGTAGTTCTAGAAGGAAGATTTAGACTCGGCCTGTCTTTAGACAAAGACATGTCCCGATAAGATTTATTGTATTAAATGAAATTTATTCCAATTAGTCCATTCTCTTTCATTCACACAGCACAACCAACCCGTGCAACAAAGATTGCAAATGCTCCGCAGGGCGATATGAACCAGTTTGTGGCCATGACGGACTGGTATACGCCACACCGTGTTTCGCTGGCTGTACTGGCAAGCAGGAAAATCAGACAGACGACCCCAATGTCAATCTCACTGTAAGAAAGCAACTACTCTCTCGTTTTTCTGTTGACTCTTTCTCCACCTTCATCTGATCTACTAAAAGAAAAATAACTATTTCAGAGAAGCACTGGGTTAGATCTTATAGGTATTATGTATGAATTACCGAAATGGTGTTGTTGAAGTATAAGTACACTATTGGTTGCAAATGGAAAGGGAAGAACGTGAACGCCTGGCAAATTACCTGTATTTCTGTACTAATACTGTATTTTTCTCCACTCACACAGTATTATTTCTTAAACTATGCATGTTTACATTCTAAGCGACTTTTAACCCTTCGTTCTAAAGCAGTGATGGTTTCTAGGCTTTGACTGAGATGCATAGCAATATTGTGTAAAGTTTGCTTGCGAAACCGGACCGAGCAGTGGGGTTGACCTGTTCAATTGATAGCCTGATATCACATTATCACCCGATTATTTTTTGTATTCAGAAGGCTGCGAGTTTGAAAACTTGAAGTGGAAAACTTTTGGTAACAGGATTTGCTATGAATGACAACCGAAGAATACCTTACTTTGGGATTTGTACGTGACACACACCAAATAACATCTTCCTTCGTACATAGCCCTACGGAATTCACCACAAAGTGAGCATGCATGAACTTAAGGCGCAGTGGCTCAAGAACCGGCTATGTCACTTACTGTGCACGGTAGTATTGCGGATAACGATTACTTAAGATTTAGCGATTGTTCGTATGTCATTTCTTGCACCAAAATATAGGTCTACACTGGGTGTTCTTGTAGCGCAGCCAATTCAACGGATGAGTTCTCAAGACAGGCAGCAGCGGGTTCCTGCGAGAAAACCTGTACCATGGTGTATTTTGCCGCCATTTTCCTCTTCGGCTGTGTCGTATTTGGGACACCGGCTCAAAATCCCTTGCTCATGATGACAATGAGGTATCTTTTTCTTACTTCTTCCACAGTGAGAGAAAATCAGTTAGCGGCAATTTTTCATAAACAAATGTTGCAAATCAACAGTGCATTACACACTTCTTTTCCGATTGGCACAATTTAGTGTGAATCTACTACCAGAATGCACTTTCCATTTCATTTCAACAGGAGTGTTGGAGATGATAAGACCTACGCTCTCGGAATACAGTCTCTGTTTGGTCGAGCTTTAGGTAAAATACTTCGATTCTGATTATCTTGCGTGGGTTTTATGTTCCTATTGTCCTGACGTCATATAAAGTGTGGACCCCTGGCACTATCAGTGTCCCTGTTAGCTGTGACTCTTCCTCGCAACAGCCAGCCCAACAAGGCCGCATTTCACAGTGGAAAAGTTTTCAAATTTCACAAAACTGCTAAAACAAAGTGTCATGGCAAAAGCCATTGATCCTGTTGGACAGTTCAGTGGCCCTGCAAAGTTTTCAAACGAAAAGAAGTTTACGTCTAATACGTCAATTGACGGTGTCCGGAACTTTTCTAACCTGTTTGCCTCAGGGTTCCTACCAGCTCCGCTGTACTTTGGTGCTGCGATCGAAGGCGCCTGTATTCTAGACCGAATCGAGTGTGGCGTCACTGGTGATTGCCTCATCTACAACGCTCAGCTCTTCCGCATAACCTTCCTGGGAATCTTCTTCGGCTTGAAAGTAAACAAAAAATAAGAAAATTTGGAAGTAGATCAACGAATTAACCATAATTTCTTTTCAAACTTGGCGTTTGGAGCCTCTACCCGACCAAGTCTTTATAGAAATTACATTTTATCAAATCAATCAGATTATAATGACTTTCCTAGCCCTCCCCTTCAAAGGGGTCCTCTATCAGAAACACCTGACCTTTGACTTAACCTTAGAAGCCACAAAAGCTCTAAAATGAACAATATCAGATGTTAACTGAATCACATAGCTCAAGTCGACAAGAAACTTCATCACTTGAGTTATGTATCATTCATCAGGCTGGAGCATGGACATGCTACGTTGCCGCTACGGCGGGAGTGTTCAGAAAGGCCCGGAAGGAAAAAGAACTGGAAGACCATGCAGAAGAACTTAAGGTAAGATGTAGGGACTGTCTTGAGTTTGGGTAATTTTTTTTCTTTCAACTTGTTATAAAAATCCTTATAGTCTAAAAACTCTTTTAATGAATGTAGGGAAAAGTGTTTTAGGGGCACCATGGTTAGAAATGTATAACAAATTCCCGTGAAGGAAGTGCGGTGGGCGTGCGAGTAATAATTATAATTCTTTCTAGTGTGGGCAACACAGAGTGACTATCTTGGGAATAATCTGTTACCATGAAAACTAGCTTTTTGCATTGTAATAGCTGATTTGTAGTCTCTTCACCTTCGCAATCTATGATTCCATAGTGTGTGACCCGACTTGATGATTATTGGGGTCATGGCAGAACGAGGAATGAGTGATTTTGGAGTGAAAATTCACAGTCTTGATTGTAAAAGTCTCACGTGAAGCGTACATATGATGTTGTTCACTGTACATGTACATTGTACTTGAGCTGTTTGTTTGTGTGGTGACTCGTATGATTTACACTAGGGTTTCGATCCTTACTCCACACACTATTAATTATTAGGTGCTGTCGGTAAAGGCCTAGTCCACAGTCGCACACCGGCCTGGCTTTTGGGGAAATTGAGGAAATTGGGAAATTGAGAAATTGAGTAATTGGAATTTGAGGAATTCGGGGAATAGGCCCCTATGGCATTTCATGTGAAAGAATGAAGGAATAAAAAGAGATTTGAATCATTTAATTGTAATCATACCTGCACATTTGAACCCTCTAAGGTTGACATGTAAATAAAACTCTGTATATTTTGAGACAGTTACATTTGGAATCTTTGTGCCCGTCTTCCTTTGCCTTAGCGTCCTTAAACTAATAATTTCAGCGCACCTCCTTAATAGATGGCCGGTCACACTTACAAATATGCAAACTGAACAGTTTTTTCTTAAGCAAGGTATAAAAGAGTCAAATCTTTCTTTAGGAAGCAAAACCATTTGTAGATTAATTTACATAGTAATATACATGTATATCCAACAATTTGCTCAGTTTTATCTATCACAGTCTCACAGATGTTTTGTCAAGGGTTAGCCTACATCCTTGACATACAATCTCTTGCAAATTTCTGTTTCCCATCCAAACCTAACGCACGAGGGCGTTACATGCAGATTAAAAATTATGACGTAATTTTGCTCTGCATTTCCTATCACGATACTAAACAGGGGTCAGCGTAACGAGTCTGTTTTGTTCTCATTTCAGGATGGTGCCATGCAGAGCGGGCTCAACGGAAACTACAACAAAGGCTACGAGGTCGACTGCGAGGTGGGGACCCAGACTGATTTCACCAGTCTGTGAAATCAACCTGTTTGAAGGCAGCTTTTAATCAACGACATTCCGTGTGCCTAAACCTAAAATGGAAATAAATCTTGGCGATAATATAGCTTCCTCTACTGGTTTAGAGGAGTATTCCCAAATGAACATCACATAACCAGCAAAAGGATTAGGAATTAGGCCAACTGAAAAGACCGGTTTAAAAAAGGACTGCGTTTTTGAAAACAAAGTTGAAAGTTGTATAGAAATACGCCACTAAATGGAATTCT